GGACTTTAGATTATAATACCATTTTACAACTAGATCTATTCTGCTGTGAGCACAGGGAATGGACAGACATCTCTTATACACAGGCCTTTATGGCACTAAGAAAAAATTGTGAGGGGCTGGTGTTGTGGCATAGTGGCTAAAGCCCATGCCTGTAATGTCAGCATCCCATATGGGCCCTGATTTGCATCCCAGCTGTTCCACTTCCACTCCAGTTCCCTATTAATGCCACGGGAAAAGCAGCAGGAAAAGGCCCAAGTGCTTAGACCCCTGTCACCCACGTGGGAGACCTGGAAGAAGCTCCTGGCTCCTGACTCCATTTGGCCCACTCCCGGCTGTTGCAGCCATCTGAGGAGTGAACCAGTGGATGGAAGATCTTTATTTTTCTCTCTGTCTCTCCCACTTACTCTGTAACTCTGACATCCAAATACATAAATAAATCTTCAAAAAGATGACGACAAAGAAGAAAAAGCACTGCTTAAATGATAGGTAGGTAATAACTTGAGTAATTATCATAAATACATTTTCCTCATTTTACAAATGGTGTGGGGAAACTGAAGTCTCACAAAGGGGAAGTGACTCAGTTAGTAAGCAGAAGAATGGAACCAGAGCCTAAATAGAGTTCTTCTTCACCAGACTGGAGCTTTCCTATACTCAGAGGTTTCAGCACTCTATGGGTGGGGGCTGTATCAATAGGGAATGCTGGCATCCCATATAGGAGTTTATTGCTTCTGGTCCAGCTTCCTGCTAATGTACCTGGGAAAGCAGTGGATGATGCCCCAAATACCTGTGTCCCTGCCACCCCCATGTGGGAGACCTGGATGGAGTTCCTGGCTCTTGGCTTTGGCCCAGCTGTTACTGGCATCTGGAGAATGAAGCAGTAGCTGGAAGATCTCTCTCTGTCTCTCCCCATCACTGCCTTCTGAATATACAAATAACATTAAAAAAAATTTTTTTAAAAATAAAGCCTCAATAAATTATTATTGATTCACTGGCAGCCCACTTCCTTTCTTTACATACTGATGAGCCCCTGGTGAACCCCAGAGGGTGACCAGTATTTTCAAACCCACTTTCTTTGCTTAGGGCCATTCCCTCTCCTTGAAATTTTTTTTTTTTTAAGATTTATTTATTTATTTATTTGAGAGGCAGAGTTACAGAGAAAGAGAGGGAGAGACAGAGAGAAAAGTCTTCCATCCACTGGTTCACTCCCCAATAGCTGCCACCGCTGGAGCTGGGCCAATCCAAAGCTTCTTCCAAGTCTCCTGCCTGGGTGCAGGGGCCCAAGCACTTGGGTCATCTTCTACTGCTTTCCCAGGCGATAAGCAGAGAACTGAATTAGAAGAGAAGCAGCCGGGACACGAACTGGTGCCCATATGGGATGCTGGTGCTGCAGGTGGAAGCTTAGCCTACTGTGCCACAGCACTGGCCCCTGTTCTCTCTCTTACACCCCCAATTTCCATGCGTTAAAATGCTATCTATGCTTCTATTAATTAACAAACATACATTTTAGGGCTGGCACAGTGCAACAGGTTAAACTGCTGCCACTTGTGACACCAGCGTTCCCTATCAGCGTGCCATTTTTAGTCCTGGCTGCTCCATTTCTGATCCAGTTTCATGTTATTGCACCTGAGAGGGCAACAGATGATGGCCCAAGTGCTTGGACCCCTGCCACCCATGTGGAAGACATGGGTAGGGTTCCAGGTTCCTGGCTTCATCATGGCCCAGCCCTGAATGTTGTGGGAGTAAACCAGCGTACAGAATATTCTGTCTCTCTCTCTCTCATTCTGTCTTTCAAATAAATTAACCTTAGAAAATATTTTAAGATGTTATATGCTGGGGACTATGCCATATTTTAGAGATATAAAGTTGACAAGACATACTTCCTACTCTGAAGGAATACATAGACTGTTGGAAAGACAATGTAAACAACTGTAGGTTTATAGAAGAGAGCACAGAGGAAGAAGTTCTAAGTATTTTTAAGGTCTTAGAGATGGCTGCCTTAAATGGCCACTCCTGCCCTCTTTGAAGTGAAACTAATTTTTTTCTGATTTTTCCATTCTTTGTTAATACCGCTATAAACTTACCACATTGAAACCTATAATCATTTTTTTGTGTCCCTACCCATTTCCCAAGGTACTACAAATTACATGAACACAACAACCATATGATTTATGGTTTTTGTTTGTTTGTTTTTTGACAGGCAGAGTGGACAGTGAGAGAGAGAGACAGAGAGAAAGGTCTTCCTTTTTTTGCCGTTGGTTCACCCTCCAATGGCCGCAGCAGCCGGCGCGCTGCAGCCGGCGCATCACGCTGATCCGAAGCCAGGAGCCAGGTGCTTCTCCTGGTCTCCCATGCGGGTGCAGGGCCCAAGCACTTGGGCCATCCTCCACTGCACTCCCAGGCCGTAGCAGAGAGCTGGCCTGGAAGAGGGGCAACCGGGACAGAATCCGGCACCCCGACCAGGACTAGAACCTGGTATGCCAGCGCCGCAAGGCGGAGGATTAGCCTAATTAGCCACGGTGCGGGCCTCGATTTATGTTTCTATTTCCCAAAAGTGTTAGCACAGTGCTTTACACATGGGAAGTATAGGGGCTGGTGTTGTGGTGCAGCAGGTTAAGCTGTTGACTGTGATGCTGCCATCCCATATTGGAGTTCCAGTTCAAGTCCCAACTACTCTGCTTCTGATCCTGCTTCCTGCTAATAAGCCAGGGAAGGCAGAAAATGGTGCAAGTACTTGGGCCCCTGCCACTCACATAAGAAACCAGGATGGCATTCCTGTCTCCTGGCTTCAGCTTGGCCCAGCCCTGGCTGTTGTGGCCATTTGGGCCCTGAACTAGCAAATGGAAGACATCTCTTTCTGTAATGCTCTTTCAAATAAATTTTTAAAATCATATATATCTATATATACATACATACATATACATATATATATCAAGTATACAAATGTTGGCTAACACTCTTTCTCCCTCATATGAACAAAAATAAATAAAAATTAAGGAAAAAAATTAGAGTTCCCTGGCTACTGCTGGCATTTGGGAGGACTAAACAGTGACTAGGAGCGCTCGCTCTCTCTCTCTCTCTCTCTCTGCCTCTCAAATAAAGAAAAGCAAATTGTTAAAAAAATATTTTAAGCTAGCTAAACCCAGCATTTGTTTGTGTGAGATGGAACAAGATTTGAGGGGGGAAACCCATCAACTTTAATGCAACATATTTTTACATCTATCAAATCTCCTCTATGTATAACCTGAACTCCTTGGTGTGGGGAGCATCTGCTTTTCATTTTAGTACATAAAAGTATTAGGCAACAAGCACAAGAAAAGACAGGCACATTATGAACTTAAAACTAAAATCCAGCACTGTAGGCTGCCACTGTGGCACAGCAGTTAGGCCACTGCCTATGGTTCCGGCATCCCATATAGGTGCTGGTTCGAGACCTGGCTGCTCCACTTCTGATCCAGATCCATTTTAATGCACCTGGGAAAGCACTGTGAGACGGCCCAAGTCCTCGGGCCCCTGCCACTCACATGGGAGATCCCCAGCCCAGTCCCAGTGTGGCTTATTTGGAGAGTGAACCAGTGGATGGAAGATCTGTCTCTCCTTCTATCTCTCTGTAACTCTTAAAATAAATCTTAAAAAAAATAAAAAACAGCTTTATTTGCTGTGAATGCTTTCTCATTCTCAATTAGAATTTTTCTATGTGGTTAATACTACCGGCTTTAAAAACAGATCTGTTTGAAACCCAACTCTGACATTACTTGACCTTAGTCAGATTGGTTAACCAATCTAAGCCTCAATTATTTCTAGCTGTGTGATGGGAAAAGAGCTATCTATTTGACAGGGATGTGAGGCTCCAATAGGCTACCAGATGCAAAGTCCCTAGCATAGTGTTGGCTCCTCTCTGTTGGGATAGTGGGGCAGGATCTGTACCAATCACAGTGCAACATTGACACGGGAAAACAAGATACAGCAGAACAGACCACAACACAATCAGGAAAACGGCAGGGGCGTCTGCCTACAAGGACTATATTTTCCTGAGGAATAAAGCTCTTCTATCGGGCTGTCGGCACCCCAATCCTGGAAGACTCACCGTCACCCCGTATTTGAGAGCTAGTCCAGCCAGGGTATCTCCGGGCTCCAACTGATGCTCCAGGCGTCTTTCCCTCACTGGGGAGCAGGCCGATTGCACCAGGCTTCCATAAGAACGAGCCCGGCTACCTTGAAGCAGTCCTGACCCCCCGACAGGGGGCTGTCTAGAGGGAGAAGCCATCTCCTCGCCCTGCTGACAGCTGGAGTTGCAACCTGAGGGGGACAGCACCCAAATCTGGAAATGGATATTCTGGGGATCCCTTTCCCCTCCCCTCTCCTCTCCTAAGACTCCCCGCCTCCCTGGGCACTGTGCCCGCCCCCTCAACACTCACGCAGCTTCTGCTCCCTCCAAGCCCCTTCCCACCAATCTGTCTCCTGAGTATTCCGTCCCTCGCTGTCTCGCCTTAGCACCCTCCGACATTCGACCTCCAACAACTCTTCGCTACACCGACCTCTGACCTTTGAATTCTGGACACCCTCCTCAACACTCTTTCCTCAGTTTGCACCCAAGTCCAGTAGCCCGGCCTCGGGGCGCCCCCACATCGCAGCTCTGTCCGGTCCCAAGGCTCATCTGCTAGGGTCTGGAAAAAAAAAAAATCAGGCCCACTCCAGAGCCGCGGACGGACGAAGCGCGAGGAGACTGCGAGTTTGTAGCACACTTTCCACTCAAGAGAACGCTCAGTTCGTGTCAGACGGGTCACACCCTCAAATTCGGAGTCCGTATCAGGGTTCTTTTTCCTTCAGACGCTTCGAATCCGCCAAGATGCAAGGGCCCCGGATCCAGCGGAGTGGCAAGTTCTTTGAAAGAAAACTTCATTTCCCAAAAGGCTTCGCATCGCGGAGTCGCTGGGCACCATAGGAAATGCAGTTCTCTTCAGCGCGCGAGAGGCGGGATTTCCGGGCGCGCCGGGCGTGCGTGAGGGGCGTCACCGGAAGTACGGCGGCCGCCCGGAAAGAGAGCGGAAGGGGGCAAGACGATGCGCCACTTCTCCTACGGTGGCCTGAAGGAGCGGCGAAGTGATTACGAGGGAATTTATCATTTCTGGGAGCTGCACTCGCGATGTCTTTCAAGAGAGAAGGGGACGACTGGAGTCAGCTCAATGTGCTCAAAGTAAGCGCAAGCAGAGTGGTTCCGGGGTAACCTCAGCCGCCTCCGAAGGCTTGCGGGAGCTTTGTTTCGTTGCTCTGGCAACAGCTGGGGGTGGGGCGGTGATGTCGCCGAGAACCAGCCCCGCGAGAGCTGGGGTAGCGGCCCCTTCTTCGCCTCATGATCGCTGTCTGTGGTCCTTATGCCCCATTACTGCCCATTCCTTTCCTTTCCCTCCCATCCCGCTGACCCTGTTCCGACGCTGCCCTCTGCCCACTGCAGAAACGGAGAGTGGGAGACCTGTTGGCCAGTTACATCCCGGAAGATGAGGCGCTGATGTTACGGGATGGACGGTGAGGGCGAGGAGCGGATCCAGCCCGAGGGCTCTGTGGTTAGAGGCAGCAAGCTCTGGAGGTGATCAGCAGTATCTAGGAGCCTTTGGAGAGAAGTGAGGACTGGAAGTGGTGGAGGTTGGAACACCTTGGAGTTGGACTTTGGGAAGTTCTGCTGGGACAGGTTGGGTCCTGCGGCAGGAAATCCCCACCTTCCTGCCCATGAACCCGCCATCCTCTTCTCTCCCCAGCTTTGCATGTGCCATCTGCCCTCACCGACCTGTCCTGGACACCCTGGCCATGCTGACTGCCCACCGTGCAGGCAAGAAACATCTGTCCAGTAAGTGTGGAGTAGGACGGTGTAGAGAAATAAGCCAGATCTCTGCAGACCACTCTGAGTGTTAGGCTTGTAATTCTCTCTCCCTCTCTCCTCAGGCCTGCAGCTTTTTTATGGAAAGAAACAGCCAGGAAAGGACGTGGAGCAAAATCCAAGACAGCAGAATGAATCGAGGGAAGAGACCACAGTTGAAGTAATTGGGGAGGGCCAGGGTGTGTTCCAGGTGGGGCCGCACTGCATTCACCGGGCTTGAAAGGCCTGGTTTCCCTCCAGCTCTGAAGGCTCTGCCTCTGTCTCCTGTCTCCATCCAGGCTCCTCTGCTAACCCAGACTCGCCTTATCACCCAGAGTGCTCTGCACAGAGCTCCCCACTATAACAGTTGCTGCCGCCGCAAGTACAGGTGTGTGGGGCGAGAAAGGCAGGAGAGGATGGAAGGAGATGATGGCTCTAAAACTGAAGAATACCAGTGTTCTGGGGATGTTGATTGCTGTTTCAGGAAAAATAATTTTTGATTTTTAAGAAACGTTTGGAAATGATACTTTATAATCTGACTTAAAGAATAGTTGTATATTTGAAGGGCTCTACAAAGTCTTCATATAACCATCTTTAAACATTTTAAGCTAGCCTTTCCCAAATTTATGATTCCAAATTTTTTTCTATGCAAAACACGTCAATATCTTCAGGAACACAGTTTAGGAGACACTGCTTTAAAGGGTTGGGAGTCCCAGAAAGTGGGCCCTTTTATTGGTTTTACAGTTTTTTTATTCTCCTCTACCAAGACCAGAAGTTCCTGGTTCCTCTGTCTCTCGTTCTCCTTTGCCATCAGCTGCAGAGCTGGAACTCCAAAGTGGGAAAATCAGTAGGGAACCTGAGAGTGCGGCTGACCCACAGGCCAAGGAGTCAGCAACTGTCTCAGCCCCTGCACCTATGAGCCCCTCAAGAAGACGGGCCCTGGATCACTACCTCACTCTTCGAAGGTAAGTACACCAAACCACTTTCTTCGGATTTTCTCTTTTCTCTCTGATCCTTTTTCAGACCTGTTTGGCTATTTTTTTATTACCATTTAAAAATTGATTTAAAAAATATTTATTTATTTTCTATTTATTTATTTATTTATTTATTTTTTATTTTTGACAGGCAGAGTGGACAGTGAGAGAGAGAGTCAGAGAGAAAGGTCTTCCTTTTTGCCGTTGGTTTACCCTCCAATGGCCTCCGCGGCTGGCGCACTGCGCTGATCCGAAGGCAGGAGCCAGGTGCTTCTCTTGGTCTCCCAAGCAGTTGGGCCATCCTCCACTGCACTCCCAGGCCTCAGCAGAGGGCTGGCCTGGAAGAGGGGCAACTGGAACAGAATCCGGCGCCCCCACTGGGACTAGAACCCGGTGTGCCAACGCTGCAAGGCAGAGGATTAGCCTATTGAGCCGTGGCGCCAGCCCAAAAACTTATTTATTGGGGCAGGCATTGTGTCATAGTGGGTAAAGCTACCTCCTGCAACACTGGCATCCCATATTGGCAACCCGTTTGAGTTCCATCTGCTCCACTTCTGATCCAGCTCCATGCTAGTGGCCTTGGAAAAAGCAGTGGAAGATGGCCCACGTGTTGTAGCCCTCTGGGTAGTAAACCAAAAGATGGAAGATCTATCTGTCCTCTTTTTTAAGATTTATTTATTGATTTGAAAGGCAGAGAACAGAGAAAGAGGGACAGGCAGAGAGGGAAGTTTTCCATCTTCTGGCTTACTCCCCAAATGGCCACAAGGACTAGGGCTGGGCCATGCTGAAGCCAGGAGCCAGGAGCTTCATCCAGGTCCAGTACTTGGGCAGGGGCCCAGGGCACAAGTAATTGGGCCATCTTCCACTGTTTTCCCAGGCACATTAGCAGGGAGCTGGATCAGAAGTGGAGCAGCCAGGACTCGAACCAGTGCTCATATGGAATGCTGGCATCCCAGGTGGTGGTTTAACCTGCTACACCATAATGTCGTCCCCAAGTCTTTCAAATAAATAAAACTTAAAAAAAGAAAGGGATTTATGTATTTATTTGAAGAGGAGGGTGACAGAGAGAGAAAGAGAAAGAAAGAGATTTCCTATCCACCGGTTCACTTCCTAAATGGCTGCAATGGCTAGAGCTGGTCCACGTCAAAAGCCAGGGGCCTGGGACTCCATCTGGGTCTCCCACATGGGTGCAGGGGTCCAAGTACTTGGGCCATCTTCTGCTGCTTTCCCAGGTACATTAACTAGGAGCTGGATAGCTGGATCAGAAACAGAGCAGGTAGGACTAGAAAACAGTGCTCTGATATGGGATGCTGCTATCACAGGCGGCATCTTAGCTCCCTACCCCACAACCCTGACCCCTCACTGCTGACTTTTTATTTTACTGTTGTTTAAAGATTTATTTTATTTATTTGAAAGAGTTACAGAGAGAGGTAGAGACGGAGAGAGAGGTCTTCCATCTGCTGGTCCACTCCCCAAATGGCCACAATGGCTGGAGCTGTGTCAGTCTGAAGCCAGGAGCCAGGAGCTTCTTCTGGGTCTCATGTGGGTTCAGGGGCCCAAGCACTTGGGCCATCTTCTACTGCTTTCCCAGACGCCTTAGCAGGGAGCTGGATCAGAAGTGGAGCAGCTGGGACTCAAACCGGCACCCATATGGGATGCTGGCACTGCAGGCCTGGGCTTTAACCCACTGTGCCATGCCACTGGCCCCCTGACTTTTTAATAAACCTTTTTCCTGGCCGGCACCGGGGCTCAATAGGCTAATCCTCTGCCTGCGGCACCGGCACACCAGGTTCTAATCCCGGTCAGGGTGCCGGATTCTGTCCCGGTTGCCCCTCTTCCAGGCCAGCTCTCTGCTGTGGCCAGGGAAGTCAGTGGAGGATGGCCCAAGTGTTTGGGCCCTGCACCCCATGGGAGACCAGGAGAAGCACCTGGCTCCTGGCTTCGGATCAGCGCGCTGCGCCAGCCGCAGCACACTGGCTGCGGCAGGCATTGGAGGGTGAACCAACGGTAAAGGAAGACCTTTCTCTCTGTCTCTCTTCTCTCACTGTCCACTCTACCTGTCAAAAATAAGTAAATAAAATATAAATAAAAATAAAAATAAATAAAAAATAAACCTTTTTCCTGACCAGTTGTTTTTCTCTGATGTTTCTAGCTCTGGATGGATCCCGGATGGAAGAGGTCGATGGGTAAAAGATGAAAATGTTGAGTTTGACTCTGATGAAGAAGAACCACCTGATCTGCCCCTGGACTGATACTCTCTTTCCCCATTCATTTCATAAATAAACTGGTGGGCACTGGGAGCCTAACTTTCCTCGAGTCTGGTTCCTTGTCCCATCTCAGGATTTTAGATCTGTCCATTCTCAGCCTGGCTGATCTTTCCTGTAATGTACACAGCTCCCCAAACTTCCAGCCCCTCCCCCAGCTTCTACCAAAGTCCTGCCAGGCGTCAGCTGCATGCAGCCCGGTGCCCTATTAATAAGTCTGTCGGAAAGAGGTCTTTGCCCTTCACGTTGCCTGCCTCCTTCCCCACCTCCACTCAGAGTTTTCCTCTTCCAATCACATGAGAACTGTGGGTAGGCCCCGGGGGGCCTGGCCACATCTGAAACCCAGGCTGAGGCTAAGTATCCTGTGAAGGTAGGAGAGATTAAAGGTATTGGCAGGGTTATGGGGAACACCAAGGGAGGGCGCTCCCCCACCTCCTCCTAGTAACCTGAACCTCCCTGCCTGCTGATCCCCAGAGTATAAATAATCCCTTGATGAACTGGCAGTAACCCTTGGGGGTTAGCGCCAACATTCCCACCCCAAAGCCCAAGAAAAGAGGCAGGCAGAAAGGACAGAGGGCCTTTATTTACAGGAAAGCGGGATAGATGAGGATTTACATGTCCACGGCTTCCAACTCCAGTTGGTAAAGGGAAAGGCTGTGTTATCTCTTCTTCTGTTGGCGACCTGTAGAAGAAGCAGAGTAAGCACAAACCTTTCTCCTATTTCCTGCTTCTGGCAAAGGCACTTGTGCCCTTTCCAGTTCCTTAGCCAGACTCATAAAGTGGTAGCGTGTTAGGCCACCTGACAGGCCCATCCTGCATTAACAAAACAAAACAAGAAGCCACAGTGCAAATAAAAACATCATGCTTCCAAACAAGTATTGTTACGTCTAACTTCCTTTCCTCCTCTCTGCTGGTATATATTTGGGGCAGGGAGACTTTTCTGTATTCTCATCACTTCTGGGATTGGAGCTTCTCGCATGAAAGTCTCACATGGAAATCACTTCCTTGCTGTCTCCCCAACACGCCATGTGTGCTGTTACTCACGTAGTTCATTGTTCCGAGTCATGGCCTGGGCTGCCCGAGCGCGTGGTCCCTGCTGTGTAAAGTGGTAGCCGAAGCGGACAATAGAGGGACACTGCTCTAGCACAGTAGCCATCTCCATCTCCACCGCATCACCAGGCCACTGGCGCTGGAGGGGAGAGGCAAAAGCTATCAGCCACTTGTGTGGGCTGTTTACCATCCTAGACCAAAGACCCCTTCAGGAGGTCACAAAGGCTAGTTTGTCCAGAGTGGGTGCAGAGAGACGATGAAGAGGAGAATCTAAACAAGGTTAATCGAGATAGCAACCATGGCTGGCTCAGGGGAGGAGGCTCAAAAAGTTACTAGCTGAATGTGAAGGCCCAAGAAAGGGGGTGCTGACCTGGTTGTCCACACGGAGCTCAGTGAGTGTGTCATTCTCCCGAACTGCTTTCAGCACAGCCATGAGCCCTGTGCTGCTAATGAAGTTGGATTCGATGTTCAGGCTCTGCACACTACGATTCTCACGCAACATGTCAGCCACGGCCTGGGTAGTAGGGACTTGGGTTAGGATTAGGGGACATTTTCACAGATGACTGAGGAGAGAAAGAACGGGAGCAAGAGGGATCATGGCTCTTTGAGAAGAGTCCTTGAGGAGCTGCAGGTAGGGCGGGAGGAGACAAGAAACCAGTAGGCAAAAACAGGGAGGTCCAGTGTGCAGAGGAGTTTGGTGATGATATCAGAGAGGGTTGAGGCCCTTTGGGGAAGATTCCCGGGATTTCAGGGATGGGAGCATTAGGACTGAGGATGGGAGTCTCCATGAGGGTGTCCCTAAGAAAGCATGGTGGGAACAGCATCACGTCACACAACCCTTTATGCCAACCCTGCCAGGGGAACACGTCAAGGTGTAGCCGAGGGCTGGGGATGCCAACTAGCCTTACATTGGCGATGGGGTCACCACTCCTTGTGGCCACCAGACTGAAACTCCGGACATAGGTGTTTGTCTTCATCGCCTCACACAGCTCACTCAGCATGGGTATTGGGATGTCCTGTCAGGGCAGCACAGGAGATGGTGGGTTATGGGACTCATGTCAGCAGGGTTATCCCAGTGTGATTGTTGGGAGGATGGAAGCGAGTACCTGTATATTATTGAGGTTCACTTCCTCAAGCTCCTTGTCATTGCTTCGAACCCTCTCTAGTATCTCCTCGATGTTTGTGGGATTTGGAGGCTCATCAGGCACTGGCTTATACTTGTCAGGCTGTACCACACCTGGTGGGTGAGGGCAGGAAGGGAACCCCAACATGTCCCTCACAATCTCTGCATTGGTTCTCATGTACTGTGCACTACATCCTTTCCCAGGTTCACCTCTTGCACCCTTTGCTACCTTTTCTCAGATTCCGGGACTTCCTGCCCAGAGCCCCAGGAGCCACGCTTCCCAATCACTCACTGCTAATGCCTTCAGTGTTGCAGATTTCTCCGCTGCAGATGGCATCATAGTACTGCTTGTTGCTCATCAGTGTATACATGCCCAGGATGGCTGGAGAGGGAGAGCAGAGGAGGCACCGAGAATGAGAAGGGGCCTCCTCCTGCCCCTTTGTAAGTCTGCTGCGTTTTTAAAGCCTGATCACTTCCACTCTCCCAAAGAGGTTTCCGATCTTCCCTCAGCCCCAAGGGGTCCCCTCCAGAAACGGCCCAAAGCAGTAGTTTCTAAAGCACTGAGATAGGGCTAAGGGAAGCTTCCTAAGGAGCAGCCAGAAGAGGAGGGAGTGTGCAGAGATGCATGCCCTGCACACTCCTGATTCAGACAGGCTCCACTATTGCTTTTACAACCCCCCCAAAAATTGCTCAAGAGATGCTAACTTATTGAACTAAGAGATGAACATGCATATAAACAAACAAGAAAAAATGAAAAACCACTGTCAGCCTTTTTCAGATGTCCACATCCTGGATCAGGACCTTCCCCAGTAGTCCAAATTCAAGGCCAGGATCCTCCCATCCCTGGGCCTCCAACCCTCCTTAGTGTCCACAGCTGCCCACCTGCAATGTCACACATTTCAGCATCCGTGGCATGAGCCAGGGCCTCCTCCAGCTCAGGCTCCAGGGTGATCTGCTCCTGTACTGGGATCTCCCTCTTGGGCTCAATATAGGGTTTCCCTGATGGAGAGATGAAGGATGGTTCAGGCAGAGGTCATTTCTCCCAAGACCCTGGCCTCCAGCTCCCTTTCCTTCTCCAGCAGATAGAATGCTGGGTTACTGAGGCACACTGGAAAGCTCAAGTCCTGGACTAGCTCAGGACTCAATGGTCCTCTGATCTCTCCTAACAGCTGAGGAGTGCAAGCTGGCAGACAGGTGTCAGGGCACCTGGGTCCCTGGACAGGTAGGAACTGGAAGGCAAGAGGGAAGCTGGAGAGGGGACATACGAGGGACAGTTATTTGGACTCTGGGAGGCATGGATGCCAGGATCCGCATACCCTTCTTCTCGCCCGTGTAGGGCACCAAGTCTTCACGTTCTTTGACTTCCAGTGCTTGTTGCTCCAGGTACTGCAAAAGGGCATCTCTGTCCAGTGGCCCTGTTGGGCTCTTCTTTGTCTGGTCACGTTGTCTTAGTCCGGCTGGCAGGAGCATGTTCTTAGGGATGAGTTTTGGGGAGCAAGTCAGAACTCCCCTCTGACCTGAAGTACCTTTAAAGCCCCCTAAACATCTCCAGAACACATTTTTTCCTGGCCCTCTTAGGATTCAAGGCCCTACAGGTAGCCCTGATCTCAGCCACCCAGAGCCCAGCACCCTTCCCAAATGCCTGGGAACTGCCCCTGGTTCCTTGTGCTGGAGCCCCTACCTCGGGGTCCATCTCCTGTAGCTCGCAGTCCAGCTGCTCTAGCTCCTCGGGGCTCAAGGTCCTTAGGATCTCATCTTCATCTATATCTCTGTATTTCTCCAGTTCCTTCAGATACGATGACATGGTGGCCCCCACCCCCTCCCCACTGTGTGGCACTCAGAGCCTGAGGGACATGGGAAAAGTGGTTGGACAGTGGAAAGATACACAAGGACAAAGTAGTGACACAAAAGAGACCAGCCACAGGGGAGAACACAGAACTGGGTATTTCAGATGTTAAAATCTACCTGGGGACGAGAAGATGGGGAAGATTAGGTTGTTTAGAGTTAGAACTGGAGTCTCCTTCTTCCTGATTGCCCAGCTTGCAGTCACTCGGATGGGGACTCCAGGCATCCACGCTGAGTTTGTCTTCCCACTGCGTAAGAGAGAAACCCTGGCAGTACCCCTCCCCTATAACCTCACCCGTCGGTTCCTCTCGCCCTAGCACAGCTGCTCCAAGTTCTGCCAGAGTACAGCTGGCTCCATGCCCAGTTCCTATCAAAAGGGGGAGGGGGGCAGCAGCCAGCTCCAGGGCAGTCTCTCTTGTCTTCCCCTTAACCCAGCCTTTTTTCCCAAGCTGGTTAGGTTAAAGCAAGCCAGGAAAGTTGAGTGTGGGGGAAGCATACAATCTCTTACCCCACCCTCCTGTCCTCTTTTATTGTGGGGGATCCAGATTTCACTTTCTGTTTGCTAAGATTCTAACCCTAAAGGAAGGCAAGGGCTTAGACAACCTGGGGAACTTCCAGGTTGGGGGAAGGGTGCTAGGCCCTCAGGAGAAGGGACTGAGTCCCCATAATTTGTCCCTGGCTTTGGACAGGAAGGTGACACCAGACCAGTGAGTGGAAAATACCTTCTAAATGGAGTAAAAGTTCTCTAAAAAGATTAAACTTGCACAATACTTTGCAATACAAAAAATACATGCAACCAACATATATAGACCATGCTGAACAGGAAAGACCCAGAAAAATGTGAGAGACACACTGAGAATGGGAATTATCCAGTTAAGGGACAGGACAATGGCAGAAACATCCACTGCGTGACGAGACAGAGACAGATCCCGTATCATTCCCACAGAGCCACTCTTCTCCTCCCATCTCCCACCAGGCTCTCATCCATTCGCCCCTTGTTTTCCCCACCTACCAGTCCCAGCCGCCACCTCCCTTCTCTCCGTCAGTCAGTCTGTCTGTTCTACCGGAGCACTGTCCCAGCAGCAGGAGGAGCCCAGTGCCGGGGGAGAGGGTGGGGGAACAGTGAGCTCAGCATTTTATTATTTTAGCTCTGGCCAGGTGGGGGGTAGTGGGAGATCACATATACACAGCCCCCATACCCTGCCCAGCCCTGAGAGCCTCTAGTGGCCATTAATAGCCATGGCACCACCTCCCCATCTCCTCATAGAAAAGCGTCTCAGACACCGGAGTTTTACAAGAACCAGATAGTTCCTACTTACTTGGTGCCTGCTACACTCAAAGCAGCAGATGTAAGATGACATAAATGTAAGGATGTTAGTTTTGGTGTCTATTTTTAAGATGGATACAATCTAGTTGGAGGAATGAATATTTTACAATTAAGGACAGTTTGGGGCCAGTGCTGTAGCACAGCAGGTTAATGCCCTGTCTTGCAGTGCTGGCATCCCATATGGGCGCTGGTTCCAGACCCGGCTGCTCCACTTCTGATCCAGCTCTCTGGTATGGCCTGGGAAAGCAGAGCTAGCACAGGTCCTTGGGCCCCTGCACCTGCGTGGGAGACCCGGAAGAAGAAATTGGCTCCTGGCTTTGGATCGGCGCAGCTCTGGCTGTTGTGGCCAGCTGGGGAGTGAACCATCAGATGGAAGACCTCGCTCTTTTTCTCTGCCTCTCCTCTCTCTGTGTAACTCTTTCAAATAAATAAATTAAAAAAAAAAAGTAATTTAAGGACAGCTCATATTAAATGGCTATCTAACAAATGCAAAGACTTCAATAAACTCATTCACCAAAAAGTACTCCTTGTTCCCAACCCTAGATTAGACACCAGACAAAAGGAATCTTTCTATTTTATTAGGTAAAAAAAAAAAAAAAAAAAAAAAAAACACACAACAAAACCAGTAGGAACTAGGGGAAAAGATGGAGAAAGAGGAGGACTGGGCAAACATCAGAGATGACAAAGGGGGAGAGGCAGGGAGAGGAGAGGGAAAGTCCAAGCAGGACAGTGGCTTCTAAGCACTAGACATCTCTTCATTTGATGACGATTTTCTGGCGCAAGGCTCGGGGCCCAGAGCCAGGGAGTGGCTCAGGAGGTGGGGGGCCAGGGCCCAGGGCAGAGGCAGTGGGCGGCAGTCCGTGGGCAGTGATGTACTTCTTGTAGGCCTCACGGATGATCTTGAAGGCTCGAGCAGTGGCATAGGGTATGTCTGTAACAGGGTCTCGGTATAGAGCTGGACGATGGGTCACTGGACAGACCTCACGAACGGGGACCTTAGGGGGTCGCCCTTGGGGAAACCATTCCTCAAATGTCGCATCATCACTAAAAGTGATGAAGGTACGTGAGCAGCGAGCAGGGGGGATGACGGGTCCAGTGCCAGCATGGGGAGTCAACGTAGAAGCCGTGGGAGCAGGATCAAGTCTGAGGGCAAAAAAACAGAGAAACACAAAGAGCTGAGGAGAGACGATAACAAGACTCGGGAAGAAAACTCACAGGCATGAGGAAGGAGAAAAGGGAGGCAGAGACGTATGAACATTTGAAGACTCTACTAAGGGACAGATGGGAAAAGAAAGCCAACAGAGAGAGAGAGAGAGAGCGAGAGAGAGAGCGAGAGAGAAAGCGAGAGCGGCCAGACGAGAAAGAATAAAGAGCTGAAGGGAGGCAGGAATTGGGAACCTCCAGGTGTTAGGGAGCAAGCACTGTGTGAGGAAAGCAAGTGAAACAGGGCTGAGAAAACACAGCTGAATACAGATGGGCTCCACTCACCCTTCCACATCGACATTCTCTTCCTTGGGGCCCGGCTCCCCGACAAGCGGTACTGTCACCGAATGGTAGGTGATTATGGGCCCAGGGCACTTCCGCTTCTTGTGAACCTGCTTCTTTTTGTCAGCTTCAAGTCGTTCGTATGTCTCTTCAGGATCAAAGGAAGGAATGAGGGATGGTCAGTTTCCCTTTTTCTCATATCCTATTTCTGTCCCATGGTTTCTCAATCATTTTCCTAACCATCTAGTTATTGCCAATTATACCAGCCAACTAGCCAACTATGGACATCCCCTAAAGCCCCCTGGCAACTTCCAATACCTAAGTTTTCTGGTTTTTTGTTTGTTTGTTTGTTTCTTTGAGAGGCAGAGAGAGACTGATATGCGCAGAAACAGATAAAGACAAAGAGACAGTGCTTCCCTCCACTGGGACACTCCCCAGATGCCTGCAATGAATCCCAGTCGGGGCTGAAGCAGGAAACCAGAAACGCAATCCCACGTGGGCAGCAGGAACCCAGCTACTTGAGTCATCACCACTGCCTCCCAGGGTCTGCATTAGCAGGAATCTGGAATCGGGAGCCTGAGCTGAAAGCCAAACCCATGCACTCTGATGTGGGACGTGGGTGTCTTAACCGCTAGGCTAACTGTTCACCTCTGTTTGTCTCTCCTGACATTCTCTCTGCATCTCATTTCCCAAGCACACTCAGAACTGTGGGACATCAGAGTTAGAAGAGACCCTTTGACAAAGAGCTGTTCACTTCCCCAGATTCAGAATCTCCTCTACAACTGCCGTGTCAACTCACTCCAGCCCCAACAGCACACTACATCATTAAGAGTTCTTTCCGGCCGGTGCCACGGCTCACTAGGCTAATCCTCCGCCTTGCAGCGCTGGCACACCGGGTTCTAGTTCCGGTCGGGGCGCCAGATTCTGTCCTGGTTGTCCCTCTTCCAGGCCAGCTCTCTGCTGTGGCCAGGGAGTGCAGTGGAGGATGGGCCAGGTGCTTGGGCCCTGCACCCCATGGGAGACCAGGAGAAGTACCTGGCTCCTGCCATCGGCTCAGCACGATGTGCCGGCGGCAGCGCGCCAGCCACGGTGGCCATTGGAGGGTGAACCAATGGCAAAGGAAGACCTTTCTCTCTCTCTCTCTCTCTTACTGTCCACTCTGCCTGTCAAAAAGAAAAAAAAAAAAAAAAAGAGTTCTTTCCTATTTTGAGCTGACATATACTTTCTGATCAGTTCTCCCTTTTAAGGCCATGAAGGATACAATCTGGCTTCCATATGGGAGTCCTTTAAATGCCGAATGTCCATGTCCCCACTGGGTCCTTCCCAGGCTGATCACAACACCATCACACTGAATCATTCCTCATGCAACACGGTTCTGAGTCACTCCCTTAATTTGGGGATCTCTGTACCTAATATACTCTTCTACTATTGCATTTGTCAGTTTCTGGAAGAGGCTGAAGATGGAAGCCCATTTAAGAGTTTGTTTGATCTGTACGTTTCCAGCAAAAATCTGAATTTGTTAACTGACATTTACAAATTAGGAAATTATGTTAAGTATATAGATTTCTGGTCCTTCGTGAACAATGAGGAAACCTGGCAACCGCAGGTCTGCATTCCCACTGGGTGACAATTAGCTGAGCTAAGCCAATGTTCCTGCTTCAGGCACTCCTCCCCAGCTCACCTCAGTCCCCCGACTGACTACATGCTGCATGTTACCTGCTGGACCGCGTGACACTGCTCTATGATAATTCACTGCTGCTATGAATGTCTCTTCCCTAAGGTGGTGCCTGTGACTCACATTATCTACACATTATCAGGGTCATGCAGCATTCCATACATTACAGGCACTCAGTAAATATTTGTTATTAAGAAATAAATACATCAAACTATTCCTGGTCCTTTTCCTCTAAACGAACTCCAAACTTCTGTGTCCTTAATTGGGGGCACTGTGAACACAATCCTCTAAACTCTGATCATAAAAGGATCCTCTGGGGACAGGCATTTGTTCCGGTGGCTTAAGCTGCTGCTTGGGACACCTGTATTCCACACTGGAGTGCCTGGTTTGAGTTCTGGTTACTCCACTTCCGATCCAGCTTCCTGCTAATGTGCATCCTGGGAGGCAGAAGACGATGGCACGAGTACCTGGGTCCCTGCTGCCCACATGAGAGACCCAGATGGATTTATCGAATCATGGTTGTAGCTTGGCTCTGCCCTGGCTGTTGTGGCATTTGGGGAGTGAACCACTGGATGAAAGCTCTCTCTCTCTGCCTTACAAATAATTTTTTTTTTCTTCAATAAAAAGGATCCTCTGGAAACCCTCTCCACTGAACCTGTTGCTTTGTCTGTCTTGAGCCATCATTCCAACCTCTGTCTTTCTCTCAAAACCTTCCCTGTACCCTCTGGAAGTCCTGCTCTGTACTCAGCTTACTCGCCCGTATCTTCATGCTCCTCACTTAGCATTCCTTCCACAACTTGCCTTAGGGGACACCTGGTCATCACTGAGGCCAGCACTCTGCAGCCTTCTGGAGCTGCTCATTCTCACTGCACCTGAGTGCAACTGCAGCTTTCCAATCACTACTCTTCTATCCACTTGAGAGCTGTCAAAGTCTAGATTCACTTTTCCCCTTCCTAGTCACCACAGGCACTCCCTTACTCACTCAAGCTTGGGCAGTGGTTTCTACTTTTCCTCTCCACCCCAACTCCTATCACCCTGGTAACTCTGAAGTCCACAGTCACTCTCCTAGAGTGGTCCAAACCGATCAATGTGCACAAAGGATGCAGATTCTAAGTACAGACACCTTGGTGACCTTGTCACTCATGATAGTTCTCAGTCATTATATGTTTTGAGGAGTAGATACTGTTTTAAACTATTGAATTTCTATTATATAGATAAAAATTGCTGGGGCTGGCACTGTGGTATAGCGTGTAAAGCCACTGCCTGCAGTGCCAGCATCCTACATGGGCACCAGTTCAAGTCCCGGCTGCTCCACTTCTGATCCAGCTCTCTGCCATGGCTTGAGAGAGCAGTGGAGGACAGCCTTAGTCATTGGGCCCCTGCACCCCTGTGGGAGACCAGGAGGAAGTTCCTGGCTCCTGGCTTTGTATCAGCACAGCTCCGGCCATTGGCAACCATCTGGGGAGTGAACCAGTGGATGGAAGACCTCTCACTCTCCCTGCCTCTGCCTCTCTGTAGCTTTGCTTTTCAAATAAATAAATAAAACTTTAAAAAATCATATATCCTATTTTAAGGACAATATGAGAAATAAAATCATGAGAATACATCCTGAAGATGTTGGGGCTGACCTTAATCTTTTCCCAATATTGCATTCTTTTGGGGCTGGCGATGTGGCGTAGTAGTTTAATGGCAGTGCCGGCATCCCACATGGGTACCAGTTCAAGTCCCAGCTGCTCCACTTCTAATCTAGCTCTCTGCTATGGCTTAAGTGCTTGGGCTCCTGTACCCATGTGGGAGACCCAGAAGAAGCTCCTGGCTCCTGGCTTTTTTTTTTTTTTTTTTTTTTAGATTTATTTGTTTATTTGAAAGGCAGAGTTACAGAGAGGCAAAGGCAGAGAGAGAAAGTCTTCCATCCATTGGTTCACTCCCCAGATGGCTGCCAATGACTGGAGCTGTGCTGATCCGGAGCCAGGAGCTTCTTCCAGGTCTCCCACTCAGGTGCAAATGCAATATTGGGAAAAGACTGGGCCATCTTCTATGTTTTCTGAGGCCATAGCGAGAGCTGGATCAGAAGTGGAGCAGCCAGGACTCAAACTAGTACCAATATGGGATGCTGGCACTGCAGGTGGTAGCTTTACCCACTATGCCATAGCACTGGCACTGGCTCCTGGCTTTGCATCAGCCCAACTCCAGCCATTGCAGCCATCTGGGGAGTGAGTCAGCAGATGCAAGACCTCTCTCTCTGTCCCTCTTTCTTTCTGTAACTCTGCCTCTCAAATAAATAAAATAAATATTAAAAAAAATTTGTATCCTTTCAGAATCAAGTTATCTAATTTTCAAAAGTATCACTAAATGGGAAAGGGTTGGGACTTAGATATTTCAAGTAAATAATCTTCTACTCCATGGTGAAGTATACATATGTGACTTACACATGTTTATACAAATAATATATACAGGTATATATAAGCCTATATATATATGCATATAGATTTACATATATCCATGCATGGTTGGTAAAAAAAAAAAAGAAAATAGATTCAGAAAGAGACAAAGAATATTATATACTGTAAGTGATTCCACCCACCATTTCATCCAATGAAAAATACATACCAGAGAGCATGTAATGGTAGATGCGAATCTGCCATTTCCTCAGTTTCTCAAGTACCTCCCGTAAGTTGAGATTTACCATTCATAAAGAAATGTATTTTTTACAGTATGTTACTGTACACAACTGTATACCCAGTAGCATCTAAGGTGAAAAGATATTTAAGAATGTGTATTTTTTTAATTTTGTGATCTGAGTAACTCTACTGACTTTCCACTCTCCTGTTTATCATTAAAATAAGCACCGTCATCCATTTGTAAAAAAGGAAAGCAAGGGGCTGGTGCAGTGGTGTAGCGGGTGAAGCCGCTGCCTGCAGTGCCAGCATCCCATATGGGCCTTGGTTTGAGTCCCGGCTGCTCCACTTCTGATCCAGCCCTCTGCTATGGCCTGGGAAAGCAGTGGAAGATGAACTAAGTCCCTGGGCACCTGCATGCATGTGGGAGAGTTGGAAGAAGCTTCTGGCTTTGGATTGGCACAGCTCCAGCCACTGCAGCCAATTGGGGAGTGAAGCAGCAGATGGAAGAACTCTCTCTCTCTGCCTCTCCTTCTCTCTGTGTGTAACTATGACTTTCAAATAAATAAATAAATCTTGAAAAAAAAAAAAAAGGAAAAGGAAAGCAAGATACAAGTAGGCTAAATAATTTGCCTGCAGTCTTTAACATAAGTGAATAGCAAGACAAGGATTTGAATTCACTTCTACACAACTCTTATTTTATACCAGAGAACCTGAATATGGCTTATTTCTCAGAGCCCTCATAGGGGCCTAGTCCCTTGCTCCTGATCACCTGCTCCATTTCTCCACTCCATTCCTCTGATCTCTTCATCCCAAATCTCTACCTCCCCTGTTCTCTGGTCATCCAGGTCTCACACTCTTCCTCATGCTCCTCAGTCCCTCTGCTGTTCCTGAAATGACAGACTGACCCAGTGAACGTAAGTTGAGCTCCTCTGTGATCTTGGCTTCCCTGAGTAGCTCTTCCTGGGTCAGTGGCCGCTCACAGTGAGGTCCCTTTCGCCGCCGTGACTGGCCCTGTCTCTCCTGTACCCGAAGGAATGTTTGTCGTGTATGCTCAGCTGTAGATTGACGCATGGACTTGCGACCTGGGAAGAATCAGATGGGAAGCAATTTTTGAATTCATATCTATCTCCTTTATCTATTTACCTATCTTAAAATTTTATTTGGAAAGAATTCCAAACTTACATAAAAGTTGCAAAAATAGTACAAAGAAGACACGTGTATTTTTTACCCACACACCAACTGTTAACATTTTGCTCCCTTTGCATTCCATGAATTTTTTCCCTGAATGATCTGAGAGTTAAGCTACACACATCATGGCTTTAATCTCTACATACATCAGTGTCTACTTCTTAAGAATAAAGATTTTCCTTACATAGCCAAAGTAAGGTTATCAACTTCAGAAAATGTAATACTGATAAAATAATTCATGACCATTTTCCAGTTTTGTTAATTGACCCAAATGTTGTACTCACTGTCAGAGCCATCATCCTGTAGTTCCAGTGGCAGCAGTGCCTTCTCTTCTCGGGCCTTCTGAGAGCTACCAGCTGGGGTGCTGACCTTTCGAGGCCTCAAACTCTTGAGAGGCTCCTGGGGACAGATTGGAATCAGATACCAGAGAACAGAAGACGTAGGGAGAAAGATGAGGATCTTAACAAGAGAAAACTGGCAACTCTTTACTTAGTATAGAGTTGGTCTTCTGTGTATAAAGTTATTTGGAGAATGGGACTGGGAATGGGAGAGGGAGGAGAGGTGGGAATGTTGGGGGGAAGGTGGGTATGGTGGGAAAAAAATCACTATATTCCTAAAGCTGTACTTATGAAATGCATGAAGTTTGTATTCCTTAAATAAAAGGTTTCTTTCGGAAAATAAATAAATAAATAAATTGTTGTGCACGGTTTAAAAAAAAAAGAGAGGGAGAAAACTGGCACTGTAGAAATGGGGCTGATATGGAGCGTTCTGGGCCTGATGAAGAAGAGAGTAGGAATTCAGAAAGTCCAAGGGAACCAGGAATCCCCTGCACCTTATAGGCTTTGGTAACTACTCGGCGCTTCCGCCTTGGCTCTTCGGCTTCTCCATCACTGGATGGCTCATCCCCTTCATCGATGTCAAAGTCAGAATCCACCTCGTCTTCTGTGTCTGACTGGTCCCCTTGATATTCATCATCTCCCGACTCCTGAGGACACAAGGAGGCGAGGGCTTACTGGGAGCAGACTCGTTAATGCCCCTGCACGCACGAGGAACAGAATTTCTTCACCTTCCTGATAAGGGCTGCCTCACTCTCCTTCCCAACCGAGCTATTCTTTCCTTTTAGGGGAGAAGCCTTCCTAGCCAACCTCTGGTTCTACTGGCACGCCCCTGCAACATCCACAGACAGCCCTCTACCCGCAGAACACTGTGGTAAGTACTGCGGAACAAGAGCATACGGTTTGGTTCCTACCTTCAGTGGGTTCACAGTCTAGTGAAGGACAGGACACAATCAGAAGTTTTAATACACGGCAACACATAAAGTACAACACGGCAACTATGGCAAATCAGAGGAAGGCATATTTGCTACCAGTTGGTGGTGGGAAACGGTCTAAACTTTAATCTTTTAGACCACAAATCAGGAAACTTTTTTCTATAAAGGGCCAGATTAAAACAGGTAGCACAGGAGTAGGTGTAAAGCTGCCATCTGTGATGCTGGCATCCCACATGGATACTGTTTCAAGTTCTGGCTGCTCCACTTCTGATTTAGATCCCTGCTAATGTGCCTGGGAAACCACAGGAGGATGGCCCGAGTGTTTGGACCCTTACATCCATGAGGGAGACCCAGATGAAGCTCTGGGCTTCAGCCTGGCTCAGCCCTAGTCATTGTGCCCATATGCAGAATGAACCAGTATAGATGGAAGATCTCTTCTCTCATTCTCTGTCTCTCCCTCTCTTTCTGTAACTCTTTCAAAATAAGTCTTTAAAAAACAAACAACAACAAAACAGTGGGCCAGATCTGGGGCACAGGTTTTAGTCTGGTGGATAACACTTTAGAATCCAAAAAATGAAAAACAAAAAGTTGGGACCAGCATTGTGATGTAACAGGTAAAGCCACCACCTGCAGTGCCGCCATCCCATATGGGCACTGGTTCGAGTCCTAGCTGCTCCACTTCTGATCCAGCTCTCTGCTATGGCCTGGGAAAGCAATAGAAGATTGCCCAGGTCCTTGGGCCCCTGCACGCACGTGGGAGACCCAGAAGTTCCTGGATCCTGGCTTTGGATCGGCGCAGCTCCAGCTGTTGCGGCCAACTGGGGAGTGAACCATCGAATGGAAGACCTCTCTTTCTCTCTCTCTCTGCCTCTCCTCTCTGTGTAACTCCGACTTTCAAATAAATAAATAAATCTTTTTTAAAAAATAAAGTTTTTATTTTTAAGATTTATTTATTTGAAAGTCGGAGTTACACAGAGAGAGGAGAGGCAGGGAGAGAGAGGTCTTCCATCTGCTGGTTCACTCCCCAGTTGGCCGCAACAGCTGGAACTGTGCCGATCCGAAGCCGGGAGCCAGGAGCTTATTCTGGGTCTCCCACATGGGTACAGGGTCCCAAGGACTTGGGCCATCTTCTACTGCTTTCTCAGGCCATAACAGAGAGCTGGATCAGAAGTGGAGCAGCTAGGAATTGAACTGGCGCCCATATAGGATGCTGGCACTTCAGGCCAGGGCGTTAACACGCTTCACCACAGTGCCGTACCCAAATAAATAAATCTTAAAAAACAACAACAACAACAACAACAGGAAGGAAGGAAGGAAGGAAGGAAGGAAGGAAGGAAGGAAGGAAGGAAGGAAAGAAGGTTGGTTGGTTGGTTTATCTCTGGCAAGAAGCCACCTTTCCACATTGACTATCCTGTAATTGTCCCACTTTGACTATAAGATTTGAAAAGAAGGTTATACTTTGTCTCTGCAGAGGTTTACAATTTCAGGATAATAAACTTTCAGTTTTAAACTGAGGGCCAGGGGCTGGCACTGTGGCACAGTGGGTTAAAGCCCTGGCCTGAGGCGCCGGCATCCCATATGGGCGCTGGTTCTAATCCCGGCTGCTCCTCTTCTGATCCAGCCCTCTGCTATGGCCTGTGATAGCAGTGGAGGATGGCCCAAGTCCTTGGGCCCCTGCACCCACATGGGAGACCTGGAAGAAGCTCCTGGCTTCAGATTGCTGCAGCTCTGGCCGTTGCAGCCATCTGGGGAGTGAATCGGCTGATAGAAGACCTCTCTCTCTGTCTCTACCTCTCTCTGTAACTGTCTTTCAAATAAATAAAATAAATCTTTTTTTTTTTTTGACAGGCAGAGTGGACAGTGAAAGAGAGATAAAGAGAGAAAGGTCTTCCTTCCTTTTCCATTGATTCACCCTCCGATGGCCGCTGTGGCCGTGTGCTGCGGCCAGCTCACCACACTCATCTGAAGCTAGGAGCCAGGTGCTTCTCCTGGTCTCCCATGCGGGTGCAGGGCCCAAGGACTTGGGCCACCTCCACTGCACTCCCAGGGCACAGCAGAGAGCTGGCCTGGAAGAGGGGCAACCAGGACAGAATCCGGCGCCCCAACCAGGACTAGAACCTGGTGTGCCGGCACCGCAGGCAGAGGATTAGCCTATTGAGCCTCGGTGCCGGCCTAAAATAAATCTTAAAAAAAAAACAAAACAAAAAAAAACACCTGAGGGCCAATGATTTTCAACTACCTCCTCCTTACTTGTCCCAGCATGATAATCACTGTTGAGGTAAAGTTACTGAGAAAAATAGGTAGAAGGGTAAAAAGTACGTACAAAGTATATTTAAGAAAGTTACAGAGCTCAGTTTGATGAGCTGGAGTAGAAAATCTGAAGCGTTAGCTCTAATGTAATATACATTAGGGCTAGAATGGCAGCCACCTTGGAAAGAAAGTGGGGAAAAAGCCCAAACACTTTAGGAAAGAGGAGTCGACTGGGCTCAACACCTCAGACTTGCAGCTCTTTCTCCAATCAGTGATGCAGATTTGTCCATTAATCAACAAATGGGGGGCTGGCGCTGTGGCGTAATGGGTAAAGCTGCTGCCTGCAGTGCCGGCATCCCATTTGGGCTCTGGTTCGAGTCCTGCCTGCTCCACTTCCAATCCAGCTCTCTGCTATGGCCTGGGAAAGCAGAAGACAGCTTGAGTTCTTGGGCCCCTGTACCCATGGTGGGGGACCCAGAGGAAGCTCCTGGCTTCAGATCGGTGTAGCTCCGGCCGTTCCAGCCAATTGGGGAGTGAACCAGTGGATGGAAGTCCTCTCTCTGCCTCGCCTTCTCTCTGTGTGTAACTCTGAGTTTCAAATAAATAAATAAATCTTTAAAAAAAGTCAACAAATGGTTGACACTCCAAGCCAGCCAGAATTCAATCTTGCACTCACAACTACCATTTCCTCCCCACTGATCTCTGTGAAAGACAGCCTAGGAACACATTAATCCCCTGGGCTTGACTCTAACCTGGTAGTAAGCCATCTCCAGAGAGCAATAGATCAACTTCATATTAGTTTAGTGCCTAATCAAAATGCTTTCAACAAATTAAGAATTACTATTCCCGTATCTTTTATCCAGTCATTTATAAATGACTGGATAACAGAATGTTTTTATATCACCTACAGGGTGGGGTTATATAACCACCCCGTTACTTCATATTTATATATATATGTATATGTATATATGTATACATATATATATTTATGTATTTTTTAAAAAAATTCACTTTATTTGAAAGGCACAGGAGCTAGTGCTGTGGCATAGCAAGTGAAGCCACTGCCTGCAGTATCGGCCTCCCATATGTGCACCAGTTTGAGTCCCAGCAGCTCCACTTCCAATCCAGCTCTCTGCTATGGCCTGGGAAAGCTGTAGAGGATTGTCCAAGTCCTTGGGCCCCTGTACCCATGTGGGGGACCTGGAAGAAGTTCCTGGCTTTGGATCGGCTCAGCTCTGGCCATTGCAGCCATTTGGGGAGTCAGCAGATGAAAGGCCTCTCTTTCTCTTTCTGTAACTCTGATTTTCAAGTAAATAAATAAAATCTTAAAAACAAAAAAAGAAATGCACAGTTAAAGAGAGAGAGGTAGGGAGACAAAGATCTTCCATGTGCTGGTTCACTCCCCAAACGGCCGATATGGCCAGGGCTAGGCCAGACCAAAGTCTGGTTTAAGTTGGAACTGGTTTAAGTTCTAGTTGCTCTGCTTCCAATCCAACTTCCTGCTAATGTGCCTGGGAAAAGCAGTGGAGGATGGTTCAAGTCCCCAGATTCTTACACCCATGTGGGAGACCCAGAAGTTCCTGGGTCCTGGCTTTGGCCTGGCTCAGCCCCAACTGTGGTAGCCATTTGGGGAGTGAACCAGTGAGGAGACCTCAGATAAAATAAAAAAGTATAAATTTCCCTAGAGTTTTATGCTGAATAGGTTTGTCTCTCTAAAAGAACACGTATGCGTCTTTCTTACCGTAAAAAGAAATTTAGTTTGGCTAAGTAAGCCACAAAACTCACAGCTAAATTTAATATCAATTGCTCTTACCATTTTAGCATAGGCTCCTGGTACAATGACTTATGATCTGTCTCTATTTTTACTGTTCCTACTTTTTGTTTATATCATAAGCCTCTTTAAATCCTTTTTGGAAGCATGAAGAGTACATATTAAATAACGACTCGTAAAATGACAGAAATAGGAAAATGACTTTGGAGGAGGGATGAGAAAGTTCTATTTTAAACTACTTGGTTAGGCTTGTGTAAGTAATGACTCCCAGAAAGTCACTGAGCCTTGTGGGTGCTATTTTCTTAATATCTCTTGAACTCTCCCATCCATGTTTCCTGCCCCCTTCAAACCATTCCCCCATGTCCCTTATTACAGAGTAACAGTTCTGAAGTACAAATTTAATCTCAGAAATTTGATGACTCTTCTCAATCTTCTGGATGAAGAGCGAAATTCCTTACTGTGGCTCTCAGGGACCTATGTGATCCAGCTCATGCTCACTGCCTCCAGCCTTACCAGTGTTTATTCTTCCTTCAGGATAGAAAATAAAAGTAAACTTGCAGGTCCCAGATCAGGATCCCAGTGCCTGTCCACACTGTGCTCCAACCCCTTCCTGGAATAATCTTTCTCATTCCCTGTTCTCTGTTCTTCATCCAGTCAAGTCCTACTACTCATACTTTCTTTGCTTAAACATCATCCCCACAGGGATCCTTATCCTGAGCAACAACTCTGGATCCTACACGTTCCCGTAACATGTTTATCGCACAGAATTTTAAGAGACTGTAAACCCGGTCAGTCCCTCCCCCCGACCCCGAATCTGGATATATAAGGACAGAGAAGTGTTTTTAACACTGTGTAGATCTATCACCACCCACCGCCACACTCCATGTGTTCAATATGTATCAACTGCACAGGTTCAGGAAGTAAGAATGTAGCAAGTGTCAGCCCAATCCTGACACTGGACCACCGACGGGAAGAGTAACATTTGAAGAAAGACTACCTGTAACTTTACAGAAGTTACAATCTAACAGAAAACTATAAACAAATAAGCAAGCCAAGTCTATTTACAAACTTCACAGAAACAGCTTCTGGGACGGAAGTCATTGGAGAAGTTTTTAGAACAGTCACGGAAGGGTTATCTAGGAAAACATTGACACTGGGGCTCGAAATTTGAAAAAAGGGTAGCCTAAGAGCCCCGGTTTTCTGGAGCGGCTTCCTCTGCATACTCCATACTCCTCTGCATAACCCAGCAGTGCGCCAAACAGCACAAATACATACCAAGGGACTGCCTACGATGTGCCTTCCGCATGCTAGACGTCACAGTGCAGAGAAACTGGAGATGTGCACTGTAGGTTTCTACCACACTGCGGGGTGCCTCCAGAGGGCTTCTCCATCCCTGACCTCCACCCCCACCCCAACCCGGCCAAGGGTTGTCTCTTCCAGGACTCCACTGCACCCCCTCCCACCCACCCTGACTCGAGTATCAGCTCCCAGAGCTCCTCGGTAGAGATTCCCCGCCCCCTTCTTCTTTGTCCAGGGTTTTTCCTTGCAAGACTCCTTCTCTTCGCTTCCTCCCTTCCCTCTTCCTGGGCCCGCTTCTTGCCTCTGTGAAACCCCCATAAGTCGTCTGGTAGAACTCATCTTCTTCCTCTGCCTCCAGGAGCCCAGAGAGCCGGTTCCCAGCGGTCTTCCGGGGGGCCCGGCCCCCAGCCAAACTCATATCGCCTACGGAGACTGCGCCGCCACCAGCGGCCCCTCACCCAGCTCGGTTCTCGGAGCTCGGTACTCGACACCACTACCTGCGGGAGGGAGGCCTCAGCTGGCGGAAGTCAGGCGTCAGGCAGAAGCAGTAGAACATCGATGCCTTCTGGTCCCGCCCCCTACAGCCCTCTTTACCTTTCAGCCCCGCCCACTCTGGCGCTGAGCCTCCAAGCCACCTCCGACCTGTCTTGCTGAATGAGTATATGCCGTGCCCGTGACACCAAGACTAAGTACAGACTTTGTAGTGAACAAGTTTTTTTTTTTTTTTAAGATTCATTCATTTATTCATTTGAAAGGCAGAATTATAAAGACAGAGAGGGATCTTCTATCAGCTGGCTTACTCCCCAAATGGCCATAATGGCGGGGGCTGGGCCAGGCTGAAACCAGGAGCCGGAAACTCCATCGGGGTCTCACGTGGGTGGCAGGAGCCCCAGCACTCCAACCTTCCTTTACTCTTCTTCCCAAGCGCATTAGCAGGGAGCACTACTGGAAGTGGAGCAGCTGGGACTTGAACTGGCGCTCAAATGGGATGCTGGCATTGCAGGTGGTGGCTTAACCCACTGGGCCACAAGGCTGACCCCAACAAATATGCTTTCAGAGGTCATGTTTCTATGTTCCAGTCTTTCATTCTGCTGTAGGTAGTAACTTTTCTAAAAATGGAATTAATCTTCTCCTCAAAAATCTTTAATGGAGGCTGGCGTTGTGGCCCACTGCCTGCAACAGCGGCATCCCATATCGGTGCCAGTTTAATTCGCAGCTGCTCCATTTCTAATCCAGCTGCCTGCTAATTTGCCTGGAAAAAGATAGGCCCCTTCCACGCAGGTGAGAGAACAGACCGGTGCGCCTGGTTTTGGCCTGGCCCAGCCCTCGCTGCTGTAATTGTTTGGGAGAGAACCAGCAGATGGAGGAGTCATCGCTCTTTGTTTCTCCCTCTCTCTCTCTGTAACTCTGCCTTTCAAATAAATAAATCTTTTTTAAAAAATGAACTTATCTTTTTTTAAAGATTTATTTGAGAGAGTTACAGAGGGAGAGAGAGAAAGAGAGAAAGGTCCACCATCTGCTGGTTCATTCCCCAAATGGCTGCAATGGCCAGAACTGAGCCTATCTGAAGCCAGGAGCTTCTTCCAGGTCTCCCATGTGGGTGCAGGAGCCCAAGGACTTGGGCAATCTTCCACTGCTTTCCCAGGCCACAGAGCTGGATTGCAAGTGGAGTAGCCAGGACTTGAACCAGTGTCCACAAGGGATGTCAGCACTGCAGGTGGAAGCTCCACCCTCTAGACCACAGCGCCAGCCCCTAAATAATTTTTTTTTAAATCTTTAATGACTCGGGCCGGCGCCGCAGCTCACTAGGCTAATCCTCCGCCTGCGGCGCCAGCACACCGGGTTCTAGTCCCGGTCGGGGCGCCGGATTCTGTCCCGGTTGCCCCTCTTCCAGGCCAGCTCTCTGCTGTGGCCAGGGAGTGCAGTGGAGGATGGCCCAAGTCCTTGGGCCCTGCACCCCATGGGAGACCAGGAGAAGCACCTGGCTCCTGCCATCGGATCAGCGCGGTGCGCCGGGCCGCAGCACGCTGGCCGCGGCAGCCATTGGAGGGTGCACCAACGGCAAAGGAACACCTTTCTCTCTTCTCTGTCTCTCACTGTCCACTCTGCCTGCCAAAAAATAAAAAAAATTAAAAAAAAAATCTTTAATGACTCATCTACAGGATAAAGTCCAAAATTCTCAAGGCATAAAACATGGTGTTATGGCTAAGAACACAGTTTGAGTTTGAGCTTTAAGATCTAACTGCATGACCTTGAATGAGTTACTTTGTTTGAATGTTTTCTCACCTGTAAAGTAGGACTAAGAATAATATCCATGTTTTAAAGACTGTTGAGAAGATTCAGAGATATGATCCTTGAAAACTGCTTGACACAGTGTTTAGTGATCCTGTAGTAAAAAGTTCGGAGGTGATAACTACTATTACTATGGCATTCACGATCCTTCGTAATTTAGCCTCTCCCTGTCTATCTAGCCTCACTGCTTGCCACGTCATCCTATTCCAGCATCACTCCCCTGACACACCCAACTGTCATGCCTCTGTGCCGGTCCTCCTTAGAATCCCTTTCATTTCTACATGGCAAAATTCTAATTTTATGGGACAGTGAAGTCTTCCTGAACACTAATTCCTTTCTTTCCAGGCACAGTTGCCATAAATCAGATACAGCATGTCTGCCGGATTCTTTGGAATAGTTAATCTCAAATGGTCTGTGGCATTGTCAAAACTAGGAATCATCTTCTGTTCCCATCTTTTTTTTAATTTTGAAAATATGGTTCTCAAGCCATTGCACAGTGCATACTCTAAAATGACACTGATTTGTGTGTATGGGCCCGTGTTGTGGAGCATTGGGTTAAGTTGCCACCTACAGTGCCTGCATCCCATATGAGTATCTGTTCAAGTCCCAGCTGCTCCACTTCCAATACAGCTCCCTGTTAATGTGCCTGGGAAAACAACAGAAGATGGCCTAAGTCCTTGGGTTCCTGTCACCTGTGTGGGAGAACCAGGTGAAGCTCCCGGCCCCTGGCTTTTGGCCTGGCCCAGTACTAGTCATTGCAGTCATTTGGGGAATGAACCAGTGGATGGAAGATCTCTCTCTCTGCCTCTACCTCTCTGTAACTTGGCCATTCAAATAAATAAATAAATCTTTAAAAAAAAAAAAGATTTGTGTGTCTTTCCTCCTCATTAGTTTAAGATCTTTTCGAAAGCAAGGGGTTTATCTTCATTTCTGTATACTAGGAACGCTCATAGTACCTCAGACACAGCTGGGGCTAAATAATAATTCAGTGAATGAATGACTAAGTGAATAAAGTACCCATCCTCTTATTCTTGCCTCTGCACTGCTCTTGCCAATAACCAGCCCCTTCATCCTGAGCTTAGGAACCGCTTTACACCTTGGAGGATGCCTTAATAAGATTGTGTGTGCATATTCACGTGCACTTAAGTCTGTGTGTGTGGCTCTCTTATAGGCTCACCACATTGCCCTCATTTCCCAAAGTACGTATTTAGTCAACTCCCTTTTCCGTTTCCTTGGGGGCATTAAGCCAACATGTCCTGTTCTGCCCCTGCTTCCACACCCTGCCACGTCACCCCAGTTTTGCTATGCCAGGAATGCTACTGGAGAAGAGTGGCTGCGTGACTCAGAGGGCACCCTAGGGAGTAGAAGCAGGGACAAAGTGTAGGAGAAGAAGATGGAAGATACCTGCTTCTAAAACGCCCATAACTCTACTTTTGCCTGCATCTAGCCATCCAGTCAGGAGACATGCTGTGACAGGCACTGTTCTAGATGCTTGAGATAGAAAAATGGATAAGATGTGATCTTTGCTCTCAAGAGTTCAGTCTTATAAGGGAGATAAACAGGTAAACAGATTGAGATAATACAAGGTAGTATGTGGAACAGTTTTTTTTTTTTTTTTTTTTTTTTTTTTTTTTTATGGTGCACAGCAATAAACAAAGACCCATAAGAAGCTTCAAGAAAATAGGGATTTCTTCTTTTAGGAGGGGTGAAATCAAATTCACAGATCAGATGCCAGGGAGGAGATTCCCCTCTTTGAAGATTTTGGTCATTCAGGAATTTATTGGCTACTTCTCATGTTTAAATAACAAACAGCTTTGTCTGCATTAGCTAATTTGTAAAGTAACTCAGGGAACTGTAGCAACCCCATGTCTTTTCTGGAAACAAGAATAATTTATCAAGAAATATTTATTTACCGAAGGTCAATGAGCCAAATCTTGTACCCCACACCGTCTAGTTCCTGTCCTGTTTAGTTGGGTGGGAAATGTAGGAATTGGCCACCATAAAGTGTCAATATGACACAATACCACTGCTGTAGATAATCCAATCCTTTGAAGTTCGTCTACCTTTAATATCCAAAGGAAGACCAATTAGCCAGCAGGTGGCAGCAAGGAAACAATTATTTCAGATCTTGATGAGGGAGTAGAAGGCTGAGATAAACGCATAGAGGATATTCTACAAATTTTGGAGGTCCTAGGTTCCTACGTGGGCCCATTGGACATCTAGATAGATGATAACCAAACCACTTTTGGGATTACAAAGCCTAGGATTTCCCCATTGCTGGGCTCCTAATCTGTGCAGTCACAGGAGGAGCTTGCGATACAAGAGTGAACCACACGGTCCTGGCTCTCCCTACAGAGACAGACGAGTCTTCAGGTTGCCCGCTAGTGCTCACACCTCCAGAGACCTTTGTCAGCACTAAGCAGTTAGTACGAAGTCTAGAATGGGGCTGGGAGGGAGATTTCCTGTGTATCTAGATGCCCTTTGGAGCATGGATCTTTGACTGCTGCCGGCTAAGGGCCTGGATCGCGGGAAGGCTGTCATACGGTCTGATCACCTTGTGTGGCTCCTTTGAACAGGCCTTTATATATTCATTTATGGCCTATTTACTGACTTCTGTCACTGTGCCCAGCACTGTTTGAGGCAAACAAAACATAGATCTATTTCAAATGTCACTAGGAGGAAAGTAAGGCACGCACGCACGTTAAATCAAACAGTAAACAAGGTAGTAAACCCGGAAAAGTGCTAGGAAGATTTTAGGGGCATACATCGTTTTTGCGATACTCGACTGTTTAACGTCTGTGCCTTGAAACCAGCGGTTCTGTCCGTAGTTCTTTCCCGGGCTGGGAACTGAAGAGGACCGGCCGGGTCGACTCGCGTCCGGAGCTCAGAGCCCCCATCACGGGGTCCTCTCAAAGCGCTGCCCCGCCGAGCCACCGTAGGAGCAGTCAGCCGGCTGGCGCGCGCATGTCTTCTTCACCCGAGAAGGCGTTAGGGCGGGAGCTACTCGCCTCACGTGACCACCAAGAGTCTCCTGATTGGCTTTACTCCTCTGTCCTCGCCACTGAGTGGAGCGCGGAGATGATTGGGCGCATGCGCAGTGCGCGGATTTCCTTAGCCACCCGAGTGGAGCGGTGGGGTTGGGCGATAAACAGGCTGTGGCTAGGAAGGAGGGGGCGGGGGCGTTCGCTGCTCCGGGACCTCTCATGCTTCGTTTTTCTTTTAGGTGTGGTTTAGTCCGGACGTGGGGTCTCGGCAGCCAGCTTGAGGCTACTCCCTTGTGAAAGGCGAAAGCAGCTCCTGCGGAAGGCGGTTGAAGTTACGTAGGGGGCACGAGACAGGAGTTCTCCCCCCATGCTAGGCGAATGGTGCGGCCCTGAGCTGGTCCAGGAGTTGGCTGGACGAGTCTGAGAGGCCCCAGAGGGGGCGGGAAAGTGGCCTTCAGAACGTGGGTTTTGTGAAGAGACGTGGGGAAGATTCGATTCCGAGAAGAGGAAGAGCCCGATTCACAGGGAGCGAGGACGCTGACGGGGAGGGGGCTGCCAAGATGGCGTCGGCCTCTTCTGGGCCGTCGGCGGTCGGGTGTTCAGCCTTGGATTCCGGGATCCCTTCCAGCACCTCGATCTCAGGTAAGCCGGGCGGGGCGTGGGCAGGAGGCTGGTGAGGGCTGTGCGGTGGGGGGAAGAGCAAGACGTGGGAGGGCACCTGTGGCTGGGAATGTCCGAGGGATTCCCGGTAAGGAGGACGGAAGGCTGGACTTTCAACTAGGACGCTTTTCTGAGTGGGCAGGGGGGAGTGTTAGGAAAATGGAGGCCTGTTGCGTGAGGGGAGCTGCTTGGCGTGGGAGGCAGGTCAGTTTCAAGTTGATGGTGGAGTTAGCTGGATGAAAATGTCGAAGAGAAGCCATGGAACTTAAAAGGTATGGAAAAGCCGTTGGACCCTTTCTCGATTACTGGGAAAGTGAGGGAATTAGGAGTTTTGTTGGATGTGGGAGTTACTTGAACTTTTTCAGAGACCCCTTACTGCGTCATTCCTTCACACTTGCCCCCCCCCCCCCCGTTTTCTATGACTGCTTTGGTGAGTGCTGTCTCTAGATTGGCCCAAGTTTGGGAAATAATGAGAAGTTTTGTGAGAGCCGGAGGAATGTGGGAAAATCGCATTAAAACAGCTGGAGAAGATGGACTGGAGTCTGCAGGTGCAGTAGGGAAGTGATGTTGGGGATAATGCCTGAGAAAGAAGGATGGGTGTGTGTGTGTGCGCGCTCCAAGTGCTGGAGGGGAATGTTGCATAATAGGAAATGGATGGGAAGAATGCTTGGGATGTGTCAGGAAACTGGAACTTGGAGAATGGAGCCAGAGAATATAGAGAGCTTCGGGTAGTTGGGAGCTAAGGAAGGCGGAGGGAGGGCTGAGGGGGCCCACAAGAAAAGCAGCAGATTTTGCGGAGGAGGGAAAATGTGTCGGGGTGTGGGGGGGTGGTATGTGAGTCAGACACTGTTCTAGAGCTTCTGTCAGAAATGTCTTGGAGTCCCTCAGTGACTGCTGCCTTTGTGCTGAACGGGAGAGGCTGTCAGATGCTGGATACTTGACTTGAGATTTTGACATTACCTTTGCCCTAGATTGCGTCCTTGCCTAAGTAGATGGTTCCACCTTAAACATTCCAGTTCAAGTGAGGGGAATTCATAGTCGCAAGTATCTTCTTCATAAGCTGTAGTTTTATTTATGTGCATCTCTTTTTAGTTTCTTGAGACGATTTTTCCCTTACAAAATATTAGAGGGCTGCAACAATTCAGGCTAAATTCCAGGCACTTAAAAGGATAAGGTAAAAGTGATAGAATTTTTATATAGTAACTTTATTTTTAAAGATTTTATTTATTTATTTGACAGAGTTACAGACAGTGAGAGGGAGAGAGAGAGAGAGCTCTTCCATCTGCTGGTTCACTCCCCAGATGGCCGCAGCTGCCGGAGCTGTGCTGATCCGAAGCCAGGAACCAGGAGCTTCTTCTAGGTCTCCTATGTGGGTGCAGGGGCCCAGGGACTTGGGCCATATTCTGCTGCTCTCCCAGGCCATAGTAGAGAGCTGGATTGGAAGTGGAGCAGCTGGACTCGAAGCATATGGGATGCCGGCACTGCAGGCAGCAGCTTTATCTACTACGTCACAGTGCCGGCCCCTATAGTAACTTCTTAACTTGAAACCTGTTTCTCCTGCTCCACAACCCAGAAGGAAGAATGGTTGTGTTTGGTCTTTAATCAGATTTTTCAACCATCAAGTCATGTATTCTCTCTGTTAGGAACCAGAAACCAGGTTAAATCTTAAAAGCAGTGTTTATGTCCCACAGTTTGAGTCTCATGAGGTACCTACCGACCAGGCAGGTTTAGGAGTAATAAGGAATTATTTGATATATTTTTCTCCTCTTCTGCCTCTACTCCAATTTCAGATAGTCTTTATATTTTTTAGATGTTACTATTTAATATTTTTATGTTTAGTGCCAGATCTAGGGTTACCAGTTATAAATGTTTTTGTGTTTTCAGCAGAAGGTCTAAAAATACATTTCAGTGAAACTTACAGCTCCTTGACTCTTAGTGTGTTTATATATTAAGTAAAGATATAAACAAAGTCTGAGTTAGAAATAAATTGCCTGGGGGTGCCACTCTGGCACAGTGGGTTAAGCCACCACCTGTAGCGCCATTGCAAATAGGCTCTTGTTCAAGTCCTGCTATTTCACTTTCGATCCAGGTCCCTGCTAGGGTGGCTGGGAAAGCTGTGAAAGAAGGTCCAAGTACTTGAGCCCCTGCACCTGGGTGGGAGACCAGGATGCAGCTCCTGGCTTTGGCCTGGCCCAGCCCTGGCCTGTTTTGGTCATTGGGGGAGTGAGCCAGTGGATCAAAAATTCTGTCTCTGTTTCTCTCTTTCTCGCTTGTGGCCCTGGCCTCTCTCTCCCTCTTCCCTCTCTGTAACTTCTGCCTTTCCAATAAATACATAAATACGTTTTAAAAACTGCCTGATTACTTTTTTTAAAAAAAGATTTATGTATTTATTGGAAAGGCAGAGTTACAGAGAGACAGAGACAGAGGGAGGAAAGGAGAGAGCGAAGTCTTCCATCCACTGGTTTCCTCCCCAAATGGCCACAACAACTAGCACTGGGCCAGGCCGTATGCCAGGAGCCAGGAGCTTCTTCTGGGTCTCCTACGCAGGTGCAGGGTCCCAAGGACTTGGGCCATCTTCTTTCCCAGACCATAGCAGAGAGCTGGATTGGAAGTGTGGAATCAGGACTTGCACTGGCGCCCATAGGCCCTGCAGGCTGTGGCTTTACCCCTTATCTTTTGTTTTGTAGGTCCTCCTGTGCTCCTTTGACTTCTGGAACAGCTGGATTAAGAAAAAATTCTTTTTGTAAATAAACCTGAAAACATTATACTTATTGTATGCGATACGCAGTGTTGCCTTTTCTTGTGTATCTGCATGTTCGCTTATTTTTAAAAATTTATTTTCATTTTTTTTAAAAGGCAGAGAGAGAGATATATCTTCCGCTGGTTCATTCTCCAAATGCTCACAACAACCAGGGCTGGGCCCTAACCAAACCAGTACCCAGAACCCAATGCATGTCTCCTGTATGGGTGGCAGAGGCCCAAGTACTTGAGTCATTATCATTGCCTCCTAGGTTGTGCATTAGCAGGAATCTGGATCAGAAGCCAGTGGAAGAGCTAGAACTTGAACCAGGCTCTCAAGATGAGGGATATGAGCATCCCAAGCAGCATTTTAAATACTGCAGTACTGCACCAATTGCCTGCTTCAGTAAATTTAATAGAATTTTTTCTTTTAAAGATAGGTTTTTGAATTGTATAGCATGTTTGATTCTAGTGCAGAAAAGGTTAAGGGTTTTATTTGTGATTAGGGGAGAGTGCTTTTCTGTTGGGATGGTGACAGGGGAATTAGGAAATTGGCAAAAATAAGTAGTGGCTTATGATCTCCTGAGTTGTTAAAGACTCGAGGCTAGCCTTGTAGAAATCAAGGGAGGAAAGCCAGAAAGTCAGGTTCATGTGTTTTACCCATCCTGAAACCGGTTTTTTGTTCTTGGATGTTTCACTGAAATCCTAAAGACATGATTTTCTCTCTCTCTCTCTCTCTCTCTTTTTTTTTAATTTTTTTTGAGAGACAGAGTGGACAGTGAGACAGACAGAAAGGTCTTCCTTTGCTGTTGGTTCACCCTCCAATGGCTGCCGCAGCCAGTGCACCGCGCTGATCCGATGGCAGGAGCCAGGTGCTTCTCTTGGTCTCCCAAGCACTTGGGCCATCCTCCACTGCACTCCCGGGCCACAGCAGAGAGCTGGCCTGGAAGAGGGGCAACCGGGACAGAATCTGTTGCCCCGACTGGGACTAGAACCCGGTGTGCCAGCGCTGCAGGCGGAAGATTAGCCTATTGAGCCATGGCGCCGGCCATGATTTTCTCTTGATGTAGAAAGTGGATGTGAAATGACTGTCATAGTTCAGGGACAGATTGACAGTTTTTGATAAGGCATTCATAACCTTTGAGTTCAGAAAATTGGGGGACATTCAAATTAAGGAATTATTTTGTCCGTAATAAACCCTTATCTAAATTGTTAAAGCATTGGGCTGCAGCTGGTCTTCTGTACAGCTGACAAGTGAACTGCAGAGGATAGAGCAAGCCATAAGTTCTAAGAGATGTTTAACATTTTTTCCAATGGAATTGTTACTGTGTTTGAATTTGGATGAGACTATTATAAATGAAATCAGCTTACAGTAACCATAATCATGTTCTTTTTTTTTTTTTTTTTGAGAGGCAGAGTGGACAGTGAGAGAGAGAGACAGAGAAAGGTCTTCCTTCTGTTGGTTTACCCCACAATGGCCGCTGCGGCCGGCGCGCTGCACTGATCAGGAGCCAGGTGCTTTTCCTGGTCTCCCATGCGGGTGCAGGGCCCAAGGACTTGGGCCATCCTCCACTGCATTCCTGGGCTACAGCAGAGAGCTGGCCTGGAAGAGGGGCAACCAGGACAGAATCCGGCATCCAAACTGGGACTAGAACCCGATGTGCCGTCGCTGCAAGCGGAGGATTAGCCTATTGAGCCGTGGCACCGGCCAATCATGTTCATTCTTTAAAAAAAGATTTATTTATTTGAAAGTCAGAGTTACAGAGATAGAGGGAGAGAGAGATCTTCGGTTTGCTGGTTCATTCTTCAGTTGACTTCAGTCACCAGGCTGAGCCAGGCCAAAGCCAGGAGCTTCATTGAGATCTCCTATGTTAGTGACAGGAATCCACAAACACTTGGCCATCTTCTGCTTTTCCTAGGCCATTAGCAGGGAGCTGGATGGGAAGTGGAGCAGCCAGGACACGAACCAGCACCTATATGTGATGCCAGTGTCATGGGCAGTGGCTTTACCCACTACCCACAATGTTGGCCCCCATATGTTCATTTTTATAAAAATATTTAATTCAAAGGCAGATGGCTGCAACAGCCATGGCTGGGGCAGAGCCAGGAGCCTGGAACACCATCTGATCTCCCACATGGGTGGCAGGGGCCCAGAAACGTGTGCCTTCCCTGGCACACCAACGTGGAGCTGAATTGGAAGCAAAACAGCTGGGACTTGATCCTGCACTCCAGTATGGGATGCTGGCACTGTAAGCTTGTGGCTTAACTCCTTGTGCAGTCACGCTGTGTTCATGCTTGCACTTTGATTGTTATAATATAAACATGGTGCAGTTTGCTGTGTGATCTCAGTTGCTTAGTGTATAAAGGAAATTTATTCCTTTGTGCTCTCCATCCTTATAGTTGAACATGGCACCTCTTAATAAAATCAGCCTTGATGAGGTGCTGTTAACAGTGCCACTGTCTGTCAAACCAGTTTTCAGATATTCTTTATCTCTAGTTTAACTTCCTGTGGTCCATCAAGAGCTTGAAATTCATCTGCTGAATCCCCTTTTACTATAAAGGCAAAAGTTTGTTTTGGAGAGCTGACTTGAAGTTAGTAGGAGGGTTAGAAAGGAAAGTTAGGATGCTCCCCTGAAATAAGAGCCAGGTGATAAAATCATGTTAGTCCCCCAAGGAAAAACACTTGAAACCTTAGTTGATCAGGAACTGTAGCTCCCTCTGCCTCAGACCAGAATGTTTGAAATAGTTACCACTCACCTATATGATTTTTATCAGGAGCACAGATGATTTAGAATAACTACAGTTCTTTTCCTGAATCCTCTCCCCCCATCTCCCCAACCCCAGAAGGCACAAGATTGAAGCGTTTTTGCTTGAGGTGCGTAGTGTTAGCCTCATCAGTCTATTGTGGTGACCCCACTAGAAAACTCTCCTGGGCCGGCGCCGCGGCTCACTAGGCTAATCCTCCACCTTGCGGCGCCAGCACACCGGGTTCTAGTCCTGGTTGGGGTGCCGGACTCTGTCCCGGTTGCCCCTCTTCCAGGCCAGCTCTCTGCTGTGGCCCGGGAGTGCAGTGGAGGATGGCCCAAGTGCTTGGGCCCTGCACCCCATGGGAGACCAGGAGAAGTACCTGGCTCCTGCCATTGGATCAGCGCGGCGGCCATTGGAGGGTGAACCAACAGCAAAGAAAGACCTTTCTCTCTGTCTCTCTCTCTAGCTGTCCACTCTGCCTGTCAAAAAAAAAAAAAAAAAAAAAGAAAAACTCTCCTGTAATCTGGTAATTCCAGTGGTAGAGGTGCTTGTGGATGTTGTGGTTTTGGTTTTTTGTTTTTGTCTTCTGTGTCTTTTGTTTTATTAAATATCTATTTATTATTTGAAAGCAGAGTGACAGAGCAAGAGCGATCTGTCATCTTCTGGTTCACTCCCCAAATGCTCACCTGCCTGGGAGGCCCCTAAGAAGCTCCGGGCTCCTGATTTCAGATCGATCGGCTCAGCTGTGGCCATGGCGGCCTTTGGGCAGTGAACCAGCCAATGGAAAACCTGTCTCTCCTCTCTGTAACTATGCCTCTCAAGGTAATAAATAAGTCTTTAAAAAGAGAGAAAGGGAGAAACAGAGGTATCTTCCATCCCTTGGTTCACTCGAAATGGCTGCAACAGCCAGGGTGGGGCCAGGCCTGAGCCAGGAGCCAGGAGCTTCTTCCAGGTCTCCCATGTTAGGTTCAGGGGCCAAGGGACCATCTGCTGCTGCTGCTTTTCCCAGACACACTAGTAGAGAGTTGGATTGGAAGTGGAGCAGCCTGGACTCAAACTGGCGCCCCTGTGGAATGCTGGTGTCACAGTGGCAGCTTACCCAATATGCCACATGGGATGCCAATGTTGCAGGAAGCGGCTTAACGTGTTATGCCACAGCACTGACCCCACTGGTCACTTTTCAGATGGTCACAGTGGCTGAAGCTGGGACTCAAACCGGCATTCAGATGTGGGGTGCCAGCATCACAAATGGCGGCACCATTGCACTGGCCCCTTTTCATATCTCCTGTAAGCTTTATTTCTATTGTTTTCTGTTTGAAGTGGACTTAATTTAAATTGAATTCCCTCCATCTTTCTTAACTCTGTCTCCAATCTCTTTTTCTTTCTTTCTTTTTTTTTTTTTCAAGATTTATTTACTTTTTGAAAGTCAGAGTTACAGAGAGAGAGAGAGGGAGGGAGGGAGGGAGAAGGGTCTTCCCTGTTAGTTCACTCCCCAGTTGGCTGCATTGGCCAGAGCTGCACCGATCCAAAGCCAGGAGCTTCTTACGGATCTCCCACGTGGGTGCAGGGGCCCAAGGACTTGAACCATCTTCCACTGCTTTCCCAGGCCATAGCAGAGAGCTAGATCAGAAGAGGAGCAGCCAGATCTCGAACCGGCACCTATATGAGATGCTGGTGCTTCAGGCCAGGGTGTTAACCCACTGGGTCACAGTGCTGGCCCCTCCAGTCTCTTTTTCATTCTTGTAAATTCCAGTCTGTTTTTTTGTAATGGCTGCATATACTATGTATTAATTTATAAAAAAGATAGGCAGACAGGATCCTTTAAGGAGTTTAATATATCGTACTATTTGCTTTGTACACTTAACACAGCAATATGAAATGAACCCATAATCACTATTCCAAAGGCTCAGTGTAGTTGATAGGGGATATTTTGGAAGTGTGGGCTAAGGGAAGGTGAGGTGGGAAAGTTGGGTGGTGGGAATGGGAAGGGTTTTGTTTTGTTTTGAGGATGGTTATGTAGAGTATATTAGCTTTTCTGTGCATAGTGTTGGTAAACTTCAAGTTCTCATTGATAAGGACCTATAAAAAAGGGCACTAATGGCAGGGAGGTAACTTGGCCATACTTCTGATTTCTTGTAGAAGGAGATAATTGTCTTGAAGTGTATTAATGCTTCTTATGATATCATTAAAGTTAGAGTTTCTGTGCTGAAATATGTCTATTCTAATTCAGCAAAATGCATTCATTACCTTTTCAAGATATGTAGAGCCAGATTTGGAAATAGAATTAGGAGGTGGCCATCTGCCAAGTATCTCAAATGCCTTTTGGCCATGAGTGTTTATTCAGGAGACTCAAGATTTTTTTTTCATAATTTCCAAATTCTATTGCCAAATGATACATATTTGAGGTCTATGAAACATAAAATTTGCCTTTGTAAAACTAGAAGCAAAAAAGAGGGAGAGGAGACCATACACAACTATTTTAATTTAACTCTCTCATTTTCCAAATTAGGAAACCAAGGTTCAGAAAGATATTAGTTGTAAAGTGATACATACAGGCCAGCGCCGTGACTCAATAGGCTAATCCTCCGCCTAGCGACGCCGGCACACCGGGTTCTAGTCCCAGTCGGGGCACCGGATTCTGTCTCGGTTGCCCCTCTTCCAGGCCAGCTCTCTGCTGTGGCCAGGGAGTGCAGTGGAGGATGGCCCAAGTATTTGGGCCCTGCACCCCATGGGAGACCAGGATAAGCACCTGCCTCCTGCCTTCGGATGGGCGCAGCGCGCCGGCCGCGGCGGCCATTGGAGGGTGAACCAACGGCAAAAGGAAGACCTTTCTTTCTCTCTCTCTCTCTCTCTCTCTCTCTCTCTCACACTCATTGTCCACTCTGCCTGTAAAAAAAAAAAAAAAAGGTGATACATACAGTATGTGTTATCAAGGTAAATATTAACGAATCTGCTGCTCATTCTTTGTAATGCTTTTTGTTACCTCTTAGCTGAGATAACCCTGGGACTAGTAGATGAAACTGCTTTTGAGCGTTTGTTTCTAGGAGCATCCTTGCCTTTCTGACTTTTCCTAAAAGATCCTTAGGGAAAAATGACACTGCCAGGACTTAGCTTTTCTGTGAGATGTGGCTTGGTTTTCTTAAGTCATGTAGTGATGGTACAGTTTTTTTTAAGTGCTATTGCTTAGAGTCGTGTGCTCAGTAGGCAGGCTGACATTTCACACACATGAATGAGTATTTTCATTTGGAGAAATATTGTACTTCCCACGTGCAAGGGTGTAGAGAGTGTAGTCAGGATAACTTTCAGTAGTCCAAGTTAACCAGGACCATAAAGAAAGATCGCTTCAAATAGTACAATGAACAATTAAGTTGATTTTGGTTTTGATTTTATTGTAAAGGGGGAGGCTGTTTTTGCTTTTTGTTTTTCTTTTAAAGTTTCTGGCTCTTAATTTTGTCAACCAAGAATTAACATTTTGCTTTCAAAAAAACCTGCTTATCTCTTTGTTCTCTTAATACGGGGATTATTGACAGGTTTGTGTAGATCGTTGGTGAATCTTTGAATAAATTCCCTGGGGTAGTTTCTCAATTACCTAACCTCCAGCTGGGTGAGGAATGTATATCTGGCAAGCCTCTGGCGTCTCCCAGTTATACGTGGTACTTCAAACATGGAAGTCAGCCACACACTGCTTGGTTTCTCATCTGGTAGATGATGTCATCTCGTCTCTGACGGAAAGGCTTCTGCTCTGAAAGCGCAGGGAGAGGCTCTGCTATTAAGGCCAACTCTGTTTTGTTTTACATGCTGGAGGGAAGGGCAGCTCACTTCAGAGCTGTTCACTATCTGAAAATATCTGTGTGTAAATTAGCTCCTCTTTTTAAGGCTAGCACATTTCTCCGAAAGTTGCCTTTTTCATATTTTTTGAAACTATGCTGATGTTTTTTTTCCTTCACTTTTTCCTTTCAGTGGTAAATTTTAATCGCTAGTGGCTTAGTAATAACAAGCAAATTCATGTAGAATCACAGTGGTGTTTTGCCAAGTGACCAGAGATCAGCCCTTTTAGTGCTTTTTTCACCACAAACAATTTAGGGTGGGGCCAAGGAGTAAAATGGAGTGCTTCCCTATGACTGGTACAATTACTCAGAAAAATTTTCGGTGACATGGTATGATGATTCAACTTTATGTTTTAACAAGAATCGACAGAGTTGTTTCCACTTCAACTTTCTGAAATTACTTTAGTAGCATTAATGATTTCATAGCTGATTTTCATAATTTAGAGGCTAGGGTTGTTCTTTTTTTTAATATTTTTTGAAGTCTTGGTTTCCATAAAATACTGTGAATTCAGCATTCCCCTTTGTAAGAGACCATTGATATTCAGAGAGATAAGGTTCCCTTTTCCAAAGTGAGCCTCTGTCATATGTCCTAATACAGGTTTGTTTCCAGCTATATGGGCATCTCAAAGTAATATGTAGCTGAGAAAGAGTGGCTGTATGTATAGGAATCATGCTTATTTTTAGTTTGGGATTGTCAGCATTGTAGGCAATTTCATCTCACATTTTTCTTTCTAGCTTATCTTTGTAACAGTTTAACATTATAATGAGCTTGAGTTAATCTTTTTTGGGGAATGTCCATGGTTTATATGTATGGGACTAAGTAGTGGCTTAGTGGGAAGAATAGGTTATAAAGCTAAATGAATGAGAATAAAGTCTTCCCTGTGTATCCTTTTCTTTTTTTAAGATTGACTGATTTATTTGAAAGGCAGAGTTACAGAGAAAGGGGGAGAGAGGGAGAGAGACAGAGAGAAAGAGAAAATGAATCATCCATCCACTGGTTGACTCCCCAAATGGCACAATGGCTGGGACTGGGCCAGGCCAAAGCAAGAAGCAAGAAGCGAGGAGAGTCTTCCAGGTCTTGCGTGTAGGTGCAGGGGCCCAAGCACTTGGGCCATCCTCTGCTGCTTTCCCAGGGAGCTGGATGGGAAGTGGAGCAGCAGGGACAGGAACTGGAGCCCATTTGGGATGCCAGAGCTTTTACCCAGTGTGCCACAGTGCCAGCTCCTATCATTTTTATTTATTAAATAATGTATGCATTAAAATACTTGTTAAAGAAGGTTTAGGTAGTAAAGGGAAAAGAGAAATTTAAAGTTACAAAATGAACCTATCAAGAGATGGTGATATTTTGACATTTTGATATGTAGTCATTTGGACTTTATGTGTGTAAGTACCTATTAGCTTTTAGAAAAATGTTTCACAAAAATGATATCTTTTTTTCACTTTTTCTCTCTTCAGAAGTTTATTGTGATATCCTACTCATAAATGTACGTAAAATAATGGTTATATAATATTCCATGTTACAATTGCACCATGATTTATATAACCAATCTCTTCTTGTTCATTAGGTTCATTCCAGTTTTAGTATCTATGGATTAACAGTATTATATAATACCCTAGTAAGGTTCCTGTATGCCAAGGAGCCTATTTTTTTTTAAAGATTTATTTATTTATTTGAAAGTCAGAGTTACATAGAGGAGAGGCAGAGAGAGAGGTCTTTATCCGCTGGTTCACTCCTCAATTGGCTGCAGCAGCTGGAGCTGTGCCGATCCGAAGCCAGGAGCTTCTTCAGGTGTTCCACGCGGGTGCAGGGGCCCAAGGACTTGGGCCATCTTCTACTGCTTTCCCAAGCCATAGCAGAGAGCTGGATCAGAAGTGGAGCAGCCAGGACTCAAACCAGTGCCCATATGGGATATTGGCACTGCAGGCGGCGGCTTCACCCGCTATGCCACAGCACCGGCCCCCACCAAGGAACCTTATAACTGAAAAATTTGCTGATCTGGATTCATTGCAGAGTGAAATGACTTGGAGTATTAATTTTGTGACCACTCCTGCAGCTTTTGTAGAGGATTTCCTTCTGTTTTCTGGACATTACCTAGAACATCTCATTTCACAGTATGGTGCTAGGGATCAGACCAAGTTCTACTTAAAATCTTATGTCTGGGGGCCGGCGCCGCGGCTCACTAGGCTAATCCTCCGCCTAGCGGCGCCGGCACACCGGGTTCTAGTCCCGGTCGGGGCGCCGGATTCTGTCCCGGTTGCCCCTCTTCCAGGCCAGCTCTCTGCTGTGGCCCGGGAGTGCAGTGGAGGATGGCCCAAGTGCTTGGGCCCTGCACCCCATGGGAGACCAGGAAAAGCACCTGGCTCCTGGCTCCTGCCATCGGATCAGCGCGGTGCGCCGGCCGCAGCGCGCCGGCCGCGACGTCTATTGAAGGGTGAACCAACGGCAAAGGAAGACCTTTCTCTCTGTCTCTCTCTCTCACTGTTCACTCTGCCTGAAAAAAAAAAAAAGAAAAATCTGGAAAAGCAAAGGTTAAATACAAAAAGCAAGGATTATTTTATGATCATTCCAAAAAAATCCGAAAAAGAGCTTATTAAGAAAGGTTTACCAAAAATTTGCCACTGGGGCCAGAGTTGTGCAAAAAGGGGTTTAGGGGGGCTGCCAGCAGCCCCCCGCGCCCCATATGGGCCCCCGGTTCAAGGTCCCACTTATCCCTTTTCTGAATCCAGCCCCCCTACGGATGGGGCCTGGGAAAAGCAGTAAAAGAAGGGCCCAGGTTCTGTGGGCCCCTTCCCTTCGCAGAGGAGACCCCAGAAAAAAGCCTCTGCCTCTTTGCCTTTGAACCGGGCCCACGCCCAACCACTTGGGCCATTTTAGGGAGGTAACCCCGAAAA